TGAGCAGTACAATATAACTAAGATTAACGTTTACCACTGGGAATGCTCCTATCAAATTTGTCGATCTTTTACTCCCAATTGTTATTATCCATATCATCGCATCGAATACGATAACAAAAGACGAAGTCACTGAGCAGAATTCCGGCGACAGAGGATGTCCATCATTACATTGATCCGACCAGACTTGTACTCTATCTCGCATTGTATTTGGTGATGAAGAATTTTTTATCTTGCCGATTTCTGTGAGAGATGTTGCTTTGCATACCGACGCATTATCTTGATAGATGACAAATAGCTCTGAGCCGAGAAGGTACACTCTGTGATTGTCAAGGGTAAGCTTTATCGCCGGTAACATATTGGCATCACCTAGGTGATTCTGCTATGCATTGGTGCGTACGTGCCCAATACCGTTAGCTTGATGTAAACTTAGTTTATTGCAAGGACTGAACCAGTAAAGATGATGTTAAATTAGATCTCTAAGGTCCGAAATAGAGTTACACAAAAGGCGTTTCTTAAGTATCTTGAAGATCGTCGCTTATGGTGCGCCTCACGAACTTCTTTCAATGGAAAGTAATAGTCTCAAGTCTCTCCTGTTTAAGTGTGCAGTTTAATCTCAACTCAATCATCGGATTTGTTGACCAGTGCTACCAAGAACACCTAAGTAACCGTGCAGTTTGCACACAGGGAGCTTTTGGCTCCATGATTCGGCATAAACAAACGCACAGAGGGTTGGGCGACGCAGAACGCAGAGCCTCTTGCGTAATCTTAGGTGAAAGAGTGGCATTTTTTCAAATAACAGCCAATTCAAAGTTATTGTATATACTTATAAGTTTTTTATAATGCGTTGCGAGAAGCTAGCTGGTCACATGTTCTACCGACAACATAACTGGGTACGTATTTCGCCATCATCAGCACAACTCCATATTTTTTTTTGTTTCTCAGAAGTAACAATATGATCGGTAGTCAAATGCAATATCATACTTTCATCAAGATTTTATTATTTTCAAAATATGACTTTGATTACTATAAATTTGTACTCTTTTTTAAGATCATTAAATGTATACTGTATATTAATCTTTTGTTCCATAACCTACGTACCCCAGAGTGCCAGCCTTGCTTCGAGATTGAAAAATGTACGACTGGCTTGGGTATATACGGTATCATCGTGCAAAGATTACGAAAGTAGAACTAGGCTTAGAACGCAATCATTTCTTATATCTATCGAGCCGGTACCACAAGTTGGATGCTGGATGAAGCCATTGTCCTGAGCAGGGCAGACTGCTGAATTACTTTCAACAGATTGAATACATGACACGTTTCAATGGCTTGGAACTCGCTATAAGCAGATGGTTTGATTGCCATAATCCAAGTGTATCTTTCATCATTCGATATATTCGGTACCTTCCGGATACTAAATAGTAGTCAAATACTTTTCATTAATAGCAGCACGTTAAAATTACTTCCTTCTCATAGCATGCGTCCAGTCATCACTTCATGCGTACAAAAACGATCGTCTCGCCACGTCTTCTTTTCGCTCTTTTGATTGGCTTGTGTCATCATACTAACAACCAATCAAAACACGTCAGTGTTCCGGGTTGCACGCCGAAAATACTGCTGGTACCACAAATTCAAACGGCGTAGAGACAAGCCATTGTTTCTTTTTTTTAAAAAGACCTTCATAATTCAATTCTCGTCATTGTTCGAAGACATGCATTCATTTTCCAGTTGGATAATGTCACTTCAGCAACACCAGCAACACCAGCAACATCATCTGCCATCTTCCTATACCGACACGGACATGTCCGATAGTGACTCTGAATCTACAAGGCCATGGCATCATGATAAAATTCATTTGAAAAACTCCGCTCCGATTAGTATTCCACATCATCACAACAAGTCAGTTCATTTAGACAGTGAAAACGAAAGTCTTGACTTGTCATACGACGCTGAAATGCACCGATTGTGCCTCAGTTACGTTGAAGACGAGCTTGATGAAGACGACCCAATTCTTTACCGTAATGTGGCATTTTTTCAATCGCACAATGGACATTCACACACTCGTAAAATACAGCGTCAGATACATTCTTTACACTTGAATGGAGTCACTTCAACTCTCAACCAAACGAACGGACCAGACGACGAAGTTATTTTTCCTATGGACCTGTAAAACTAGTTAAGTACATGTCGCTATATATTTATAATACATTGTGTTATTCAGTTCTACAGTTTTTGGGTATACACTTACAGTATACACGTCTTACTAGAACGTCCTGGCAATGTTGCCAAAGCAATTGCCACCAATGGACTCGCACTTCAACATTTAATCTAAGTATTCAAACTTTGTCGAAAGACCGCAAGTATCTGCGTAGAACGTGATCGCTGTCAAATAGTACTATCAGTACTGAAAGAAAGTTCTTGTGCTCGGTATCTTGTATGGAATACGAGAATTGCAATCCCGTCGGAAAATTATTTAATTTTAACCAATCGTAATACTTCAACCACATTTCTTAGCCAATCACTGTTTTCTTTTCAGACGTGTGCAACATTTTGCCTGGTGCTGCCACTCGCGTCAGTTTGTAGTGCAATCGACCAACACTCTGTAACAGCTTGCAGACTTGCCTCAGTTTGCAATTGGCACAATACCAGTAACGTATCCCTTCCATTCTAACTTGGAAATCGAAACATGCCACCAGGTTACACTCAAAGTTTGCCTTTATGGACATCTCTCTATAGTGTGAATAAAGCCTTAAATGACGACGAGCTCTTGTATCTATCGGGTGACGAGACTGACTGCGATTCGGAAAGAGGTAGTGATACACTCAGTCGTGAAGATCAACAGCTTTTGTTACACCATCAACAAGATCGAGATGAGAAGAATGTGGATCATTCAGTGGTACTACGCAGTTGTAAACGTCCTACGACTCCATTATCAATCCCTGCACAGACGCATCAATACATTGCAAAATGTTCTGACCGATGGATATGGGATGAAGATGACGATGATGAAAGGAATGCATGTACATGTTGCTGTGATCGATCAGCTCCATCAACTTATCCACATACTACGACGAGTAACGACTTAATGTTTGACCTCGAGTTGTAAGTAATAGTATTATGTATGTAGTGCTCAACTACTATAAAAAGAGAAATTCGTAGTAATAAGTGGTTACAACGTTCTTAGTGCTAATATGAATTTTAGTTTTACTTGTGGCAATCCTTTGCTCACCGCCATTAGATGCGACGAGAGATGAGGATGATGGTGATACATCCAGGCATAATCAGCACTCTATCTTTAGTATAGCGATCATCAATCAAAGGCAGCAGCGTTGTTGGCCCATCATTTAATCCGTTCAGGTTAATCAAGTGATACATCTACCATACGGTACTGTATATTGTGCGATATAGAAATAGTACATTGTTATACAGTACATATAAGGTTAGGCGCAAAAGTTAGGGTCAGGATTTGGTAAACGAGCAGGATTACGGGAAGGTTCTAGCCTTTCCATTTAACCATGATACTTCCAAATGCATAACCTGCACTTGACCAAATTCTAAATCTACAGAGTAACTATTCTAAGGAAGAGAATCTTAGCATACAAAGTATTTGTAACCCGTGTTAAGGGCTACAGACCTGGTTTGAACAATTGTCTACGTGACACACGCCAGTAAACTTCAATACTCATTGACATTATATTCCGGTGTACATATGTGCCATGCTACTGTAAGTCCATGTGAGTATTACGACCAAGGCGAGAGACTACAACGTCATCGATATCCATAAATGTATAGGGCTTCTCACCCTTATCCATGTCATTGTAGCGTTCAGCACTCACCAGCAGGTGCACAAAACCACAATTAAATTAGACATTCCAGATTTTTAATCTGGAAAGTAGAAACATTTCTTAAAGGTGGTAAATTCAACTACGCATTAATTGTGCTACCTGTTTACCTTTATATCCAGATAAAATCAATTTTTCTTCAATGCAAAACCGTCCCGATTATGTAAAGCACGACATGTGAGCGAGTCAGATGATTATCTCCGTCAACTTTCATGACACGACAATCTTTTACATAAATTGACTTATTGCGCAATCAAGTATGGAAGAATGTACGACAGTCGAGCGGACAATGTACCTTAAATCAATACATTTATAATATGCAAACTTTTCTTTACAAAAGACATTTTCGATTTCTTAGAAACGCAATGTTGAGACCTTGGAACATTATCATTTCTTAAATATTCTTAAAGCAATCGAACGAAAGTGGTTCAAATTTGACTGCTTGCATTCTTTTGAAGGTTTTCTCGATGAACATCAAGCTGTTTCTTCCATAAAATCCCGCGCTTAACCTTATGATCACGTTATCGTTGCCGCCATCTTAAGTGTTGTCTCTGTGCAATCTGCGATAATCCTTAGCAAGAAGAGCCAACAACGCACGTGCCTGCGACAGTCGAAGCTTTCACGTCCAATTGATTGTACAAGCACACGGGAGATCAAGACTTATGGTCCTAAAATACGATCTAAAGATCATTCAGTTTTTAGAAATCTAGAATTTATGATGACAAACTTTTATTTTCAAAAAGATGAAAATTGGAAATTTCTATTTCTTTTCATGTGTATACGACTTCGCTATCTCGTCGTGCTTGCGTGTTTATTATAATCATATTAGCGATTTTTTGAAGCTGATTGTTCCTTCCGACTACTCTTTCATTCATGATAGCGACTTTGTACACTGCGACAGCAAACGACAATACGCGAGCTGCACTTCGAGCCGGAAGTGAGCCGCTATTCGACATGCGTATACCATTTCTAAAGATTCAGCATACAGAATCTGGCAAGGAATGTTTTCTTTCAACAATATGAAGAAAAGTGCTTTTTTTCTACCTCATAGAGAGTCTTATTAACATGTGGACTCCATCTGATCCCCTGTAATTGCGTGACAGCCGCAATCAGGAAGTGGGTGACAGTGAATTATGTGAAGCTAAAAGCTGTAGGTTACGACGTTAGTAAGAGATGCATACAAGAATTGACAAACTTTAATATTTTAACATTAAAATAATTCAGTTACCACTTAAAAGCATCGAACAACGTGTGATGTGCGTACACCTTACATAATTTCCAATATTACCCTCGGACTAAGGATCAAGCCCAAGTGCCAAAGCATGGTACTATGATGAAGTATCATGCCAAATACTGGGATGGATGAGGTAATGGAGACCCGGAAGGAAAAGCTTGTGGCTGATTGTAATGGGGTTACACATACCGTGGTAACAGGGGTGTGTGTTCACACGAGATACGCATGGTGTGACTGCATCCAAACAAGAACACGAAATGTGGCTGGGTAGCCAGTAGTTATGCATGTATTTAGATTTTACTATATATACTTAGGAAATCTATACATTTAAAATTAGGCGGCTTTGCCGCAGATAAAAATAATAAAAATCGGGTCTGAGTAATGAGTACTTACTCTTGGAGTAAGCGGATTGCGATCTGATAACTCGTACTTGTTCTAAGTATAGAACAAGAGGTTGGTGACCTAAATTACGCTGTCTCTAAGCGCAACGCTACAGCAGCCCCGCTGCACTGATAGCCTCACGCTATGCAGTACATGATATATTATTGTGGATAGCAGAACTGCAGGGGGACTGTCGTAGCTCTTTCGCTTAACGAAAGCTTGGTTAAGGTTGGTGACTTTTGTTCCATACTTAGAACAGCACGAATGTTGCAGATCGCAATCCACTTACTCCAAAATTGACTATAACCTTAACTCAAGGCTAATGAACTTCCGTTTAGAACGTAAACTGTATTTCTCGGTTTGATTTTAGGATAAGCCACCTATGCAGCGGGGCTGTCGTAGTGTTGCGCTTAGAGTAAGGGTAATTCAGGTCACCGACCTCTCGTTCTATACTTAGAGCAAGTACGAGTTAGCAGATCGCAATCCATCTACTCCAAAGGTAATTATTGCCTTAAACCAAGGCTAATTACTCTTCCGTTTAAAATCCAAAACTGATTTTTATTTATTGTTATCTGCGGCAAAAGCCGCCTAATTGAAAAAATATAGATTTTCCTAA